ACTCCTGTAATCGCTGTACTTTGGAAGTCTGAGGCAGGAAGATTATTGGAGCCCAGGAGTTTGGGAATATCCTGGGTCAACATGGCAAAACTCCATCTCTACAAAAAAATACAAAAATTAGCCATGTGTGGTGGCAGGCACCTGTAGTCCCAGCTACTTGAGAGGCTGAAGTGGGCTACGCTTGAGCCTAGGAGGTTGAGGCTGCCAAGTTGTCATCAGGCTACGGCACTGCAGCTTGGCCTACAGAGCAAGACCCTGTCTTAAAAAAAAAAAGGAAGACGATGTGCTTTTACATAAACCTTTATTTGCATTTCTGCTTATTTTCTTAGGATTAATTTCTAGATGTAGAATTTCCGAGTCAAAGGGTGATGAATGTTTTAAATGTTCTTTGCCACCTAGCCAATAACATTTCAGAAAAGCCCAACCAACTTTGTTCTTAAAATTAATATATGAGAATGCCTATTTCATGGGAAATGAAAACATTTTGAAAATATTGTATAGTTAACAAAAAAATCTTTATTTTTTAAAATTACAAAGCAACACCTATCACCTGTCTGTTGCCAAAATTCACTCTTAATAGAAGTGCATGATTATTTCTTTAGATGTTGGGATGAAAGCTGGATTATCTTTTGGGACATGCCCTCTACTTTGCAGGTTTTACAGGCAGTGGTAGATGCTGTTGAGTCAGGATCTGGGTACAGTCAGTGACAGTAGTAGGATTTTTTAGTGTGTCTTTGTCAGCAATAGTCAGTTGGTAGGTCTTCTCCCATCCTCCCTTCTTAGTGGTCATTAGTGCTGTTCTCTAAATCTTTCTGGATCTTTCACTTTCAGGCACAGAGTAGGATTTCACTTCCTGGCCCCCTTGTCATTGGGTGACTGGTGACTGGGCCATGTGACCAGTTCAGGGCAATAAGATATGAATGGAGATGCTGTGTGTCACCATTAGATCAAGCATTTAATTGCCAGTTCAAGGCTGTGCAGAACTTTCTTTCCCTCCGCCATATGCCTGGCAATGTAGGAATTGGTGGCCACTTTCTCAGCCTGGGTTTTGGAGTGAGGAGTAAGGAGTGGTCCCACCCTCCATCTCAGCCCCCACTGACCTGAGATGGATATGTAGTAGAATGAGAAAGATGCCTTTTTTTTTTTGCCATTGAGATTTTGGGAATGGTTATTACCTCAGCACAAGCCAGCCTGTTCTGACTGTTATTCCTTCTCCTGTTTCCCTTCCTTCCAACATATGTGGCTAATACACCCCTATCTATCCTATAGTCATAAAGACTTTGCCATGAGCCTGATGGTTGAGAGTCAACAGAAATAGACTTGAAGCTCATATATTACATAGCTGACATAAAATGCTTATTATCTACACTTACCACTTAATTTTATAAACTATATATGACATTAAACAAAAAAAACTACTTTTGTTTATTCAGAAAGGTACAAAAGCAATTAGACTGTTGGTTGCAGGACAGGAAGGCAGGGGGCAGGGAGTAGGTGATGCTGGCCAGCTCACAGAGACTGATGTCTCACCAGGCTGGGCTGTAGCTGGTCTAGTCTGTAGCTTTAAGCTTCCCAAAGTAGTACAAAAAGGCTTAGGCCTTTATAACTTAAAAACCTGTCAAAAGAGTTTTCCTCCATGTGCACAGATAGGCAGGGTGTGTGTGTGTGTGTGTGTGTGTGTGTGTGAGAGAGAGAGAGACAGAGAGAGAGAGAGATTGTGAAGAAACTATTTGCCAGTGGAAAATAATGCCCCCTTTTAAACAAGCTGAAAATGTCTTGATATAAGGCAGTGTGGTCTTGCTCCGCTGTTTACAGAGGAATCCTTTCATGCAGCCATGATATATGGAGGCTTTAAACCATTGAGATCCTTTATGCTAACAGACCATTTGTCTTGGATTTTCCAGGTTTCCAGATTGTCTTCAAGGAGTACACCATTGACTCTGAAATTAGCTATTGTGTGGACAGATATATTACAAGTCTCTAAATTATCATGTTGCAGGAACTTGTCATTCTAACACTTTAATGGAGTCTAGCTCTGTGTCAGCCCTCCCTCTGTCCTGAGACTTTGTCACACGGGTAATTCAGATGTCGGTGTCTCTGCCCCGCTTCCTTGCTTTTCATTAGGATCAACATTTCCACCTCCTGTTTTCTAGTTATCTTTCTTTTTGTTTCTGTGATACTTTCAAACCTGGGATTTTCCCTTAAGGGAAAAGTGGGTCTTTTGCTTGGGAAGCGTGCTTGTCTTCCCCAGTTGCACTCCAGAGCCTTTTCTTTATTAGTGTGCTTTTAGGCTTTTGGGGAACTGAAACCTTTTGGTTGCTGAATTGTGTGTGTCCCCTACCATCACAGAAAAGAAAGAATGTGTGTTCTTTCTCTTTTAATGTCAGTTAAAGTCATGTTTAGAGAATGCTTGAGGACTTCCCTGAAGGATGCCTCAGGATGGCACCAACCCACCAGATGTAGGCACTCTGGGATGAACATCTTTCTCCTTCTGGAAGGCTTTCCTTCTAGCCCAGTGGCTCTAGTAGTTTATCGTCTGCATCAGAATCACCAGGGTCGTGGTTATTGTGCAGATTCTTGGGTTATACCCGAGACCCACTGAGTGTGAGCCTTTTAGGGCTGGGACCCAGGAATCAGCATTGTAACAGGCAACCCAGGTTTTGAAGCCCTGCCTCCTGGCAGATCTCTCACTGTCTGCAGAGCATCTCCTAAATAAGCATCTCACTTCACCTACAACAAAGCCACTGACTCCACTGTCTCCGCAAGGCCTGGAGGGAAGGAAGGTGGCTCCCTCTCTCTTCTTCCAAAACTCTCCTTTGGAGCTGGGCCTGTTGTCCTCGAATGAGAGGGACTTGCAGGAAAGCCAGTGAACAAGACTTAGGAAATGCACAAGGAGTGAAACACAGAGATGTCAGAGCCTCTTCTGGCCAGGGATGGTGGAGAACCATGTAGTTTTTTCATGCATTAGTCCTCAAATATTTATTATGTGCTTACCATGTGCCAGACACCACTCTAGGTGCATTCTGTCCAACCTTGCATTTCCCTTCTTTTTGTCAGATACAAAAAATGAAGCTGAAATGTAAGTCCCAAATGATCACCAAATAGGCAGGACCAGCAAAATTATTAGGAGAATCAAGACAAATTTCTGGCTTTTTCTGTGTGTGCTTGTGTGTGTTGTATGTGTGCCTCTGTGTGCTTTTGTGTCACACGTACTCATGTGAGTTAGATTTTATAAAATAGCTTGTGTTTTCCAAGCGTATGTATATACTTTATTTATTTTATTAGTTCATTCAAGCATTTGTTTATTCATTCAGTAAAAAGCCATTCATTCATTCATCTAATATCTATAGTAGGTCTGCTGTGTGCCAGTCTAGTTAGTAGGTACTAGGGATACAATGATGAGCCAGACCAAGTTCTTGCCCTCATGGAGCTTCTATTTCAGAGTAGATGATGCTCTCATATGCCTATTGAATACCTAGATGTTGTTTTGTAATTTCCTTTTCTGTAGGGATCATCGTTTCAACAGATTGCCAAGTAGAGCCCAGGAGCCCTGCCCCCTGCTTTCCTCCTTCCTCGTTTCACAATGTCTTTTTCAGCAAAGATGCCTTTCCAGACATTTCTTTACATGTCTGAAATATTTATACACAAAACTGGGGAAGATGAATTAAAAGTGTGAACTGTACATGGCACTGAAGTCTAAAGAGGAAGTGAAGCTGTTCAACTGAGGGTTTTGACTGGTTCCCATTGGGAAACCCCTTTCAAGCAAAACCTTCATGGAGCAACACACTTCAAAGAGGTTCCCAGTGATGCCGTGTTTAAAACTTGTTAATTGGACCTAATTGCGAACAGCTGCTCAGTTTAGCCACTGTTTGGGTTGGCATTCACCTACCATAGATCTAGGTCATCTTTTTGTTACATTACATTCATATTGGTATCGTAATATATTTGTTATAATCTTAGAATTTGTCACCATCCAAAGGATTATGAGATAATAAATAAAAACACGGAGACAACATATTTGTCAAGCCCTGAGGTCACTGCCAAGTACAAAAGCACTTGAGAGCAGATGCCTATTTGATACACTGTGTGTAGTCATGGCATTTCACTCACACACGTGGGAAGGTTTCCAACAGCAACAAAAAATCTGTGGTGTTTGCTGGAAGCACTGAATGATCTTTTATTGTCCATTTCTTCTTCGTTTAACTATTGCCTTTTAATGCCATACATCACAGAAACAAGGGGGAGACTAATAAATAATAGTTTATTAGGTGAAATTGCTATTGGATCTAGTTTTATACAATATTCATGTTTCTTAAGAATCACTTGGGGGAACAACTTGTTGGTTAAATGTGAAGGGGTGATTTGGAAAATATTTAACAAGTGATAAGGCATGAGCACTGAGCAATTAGAAGGAATACTGGCCGTAGTAACCGGCATGGCCATACTCAGGCATACTTGTTGTGTAGCAACCAAAGTGTCTATTACAAGCAAGTTATCACTAAGGGTAACTAGAACATGATCCTGCTGGGATTCAGTGTAGAACATGCACGGCAGAGTTATCTTACTCTAGGAGTAAGAGAGCCAGGGTATTCGTACCAACTCCTGCCCATCACTGGTTGAAGGCAGTCCTGCCATGCAAGTGGCTAAGTGGGCTCTGGAGGTCTGGGGATGCCTTTATGCAAAGAAATGCTGGTTTGGCAACTGGAAGTCAGACTACTGAGTACTGAAGTGATGAGTGCCTAGGAGTATGGGCGGACACCAGCAGTACCTGCTATGGTGGTAGGGGGGCTAAACACTAAAGTTTCTCAGAAAGCTTCTTTCCAGATTTCATCGAAGGATATTTCCTTTTTCACCATAGACCTCTATGGGCTTCCAAATATCACTTTGCAAATTCCACAAGAACTGTCTTAGTGAAAGGCTTCTGGAAGGGAAAGTTGTAACTCTGTGAGATGATTTCACAGAACACAAAGAAGTTTCTCAGAAAGCTTCTTTTCTGGGGCTGATCATGAAATATTTCTCTCTCTGCATTGGGCATGTCAGGAGAAATAGCCTCCCTGAGGTTATTTGAAATAAATCGATACTCAAATTACATCTTATAAATTAAATGGGATTGAGGGGGGAGCATTTAATGAAAATGGTGATGGTATTGAGAACAGTGTAAGCAGTTAACACTAATTTGTTCTTCTGTGTGATAAGCGTGGCTTCTCCTTTTTCCAGATGAGGACATTGAGGATCAGGGATGTTGAAATACTTGCCCAAGGATGCACAAGTGGAATGGTAAAGACAGGATTTGAATTCTCTTTTTCTCTCTCCCTCCCCCCTCCAACTTTTCTGTTTCAACAAAGATTTGAATACTTACTATGTTCTGGGCACTATTTTAAGCACCACATAGCAAAGAAACAATTTTGGTCCTTTTCAATCCTGATAATCCCCCATCCCTCCCTTAAATGTTTTTCCTTCCCCAGGTCCTTCCCTAACTTTTGTGGGGCCCTGCAAGTGTAAAAACGGAGGCTCATATACCATACCTCAATATTTAAAAGTGATAAATCAAGCTGGCAAAGTGTCAAATAAAAGATGCTCCATCCTCCTGCCTTGATAAAGACACTTGTGCACAAGGGCTGCTGTGCACTGAAAATCTGTGGGGTCTTGGAGCACCATGCAGGAATGTGGTGGCTCAGAGGGTGTGAACACCTAGCCCATGGCCTGTGGCCTGTCCCTCATCTCTTCCCACCCTGGCAGTCCCACATAAGGGAGCGGTACACATATGTGTGTGGACATCCTAGCCTACACATCCAAGCTGTGTCCCCACAAACAGCACCCCTTAGCTTAGGGGTGTGTGCACTGGTGGTGTGACCTGCCTTGGAGAGAAAAGGCCTGGAGAAAGCTCTGGAAGTGGAATTAAGATCACTTGGGCAGGGGATTCAGGGTCTCTGGTACCCAAGACATAGTCCAAAAGAGGAGATGCAGGCTGCAGGCTCCAGGTGGGTACATCTCTGTGCCCCTGAACTCTTCACCCCATAGGAAAGGGCACAACCAGAGGAATACTAGGGGCCCCCCTTTCCTGGGCCTAAGAATAACCCTCCCCATTCTATTTTCTCTGCCAAATCCCACTTTCACATGTGGATATTTTTTTGAGATGTGGCCTTCTGAGGATTTTTATAAAGGAAGATGTGGAAATCAGACACTCTACTTGTTGAACAGAGAGCAGGTCCATTGAGGTGGGCAGATGGTAGGTGTCACCGGAAGTGGAGGAGTGGGACTGTGGAGAGACCTGCTGGGCTCTCTGGGGCTGCATGGACTTCCCTGCATTCAGCAGCCCTAGTCTACAGAGGGAGAAGCTATGCTGTCCCGGCCCTCTGTCTTGAGACCTTGATGGGTTCATCCCAAACCTCAGGAAGTGGCTGCAGTTTAGCAGGATCAGCTCTGCTTGCTGTTCACTTCTCCAGCCATGAGGACGGCAGCTCTGGATAGACGTCTAAAGCACACACGAAAGCAGTGCTTCCTTTACTGGGCCAGATTCTCCTGGGGGAGCAGACAGAAGCCTTCCAACGTGAGCAGTACGTTCTCATGCCAGTGTGCATTTGCCTGTCTCCCTTGGGGAAGGTAGGTGGTTTAAATTCTTTATTTATTAAGCCTGCACAATGTGATAGAACACTATGGGAGACAGTCCTCGATGTTTTATTCTTAAGAAAATAAGAAAGTGTATATACATTTCCCTTCCTTTAAATTCTATTCACTTCTCTCTTTGTGTTAGGGGAGGTACTGAGGAATGCTGTTTTCATTTGCTTTTACTTTTAGTATGGTGTTACTCAGAACCACTAGGGTATATCTATTAATATATCTGTATCTACATCTGTATCTATATCACCTGTATCCATATCTGTCTGTCTATCTATCTATCTATCTATCTATCTATTATCTATCTATCTATCATCTATCCATCTATATTATCTATCTATCTACCTATCTAATCTATCTATAGATAGATATATGAGAGAGGATTTTGTAAGTTTTTTTTTTTTTGAGACAGGATCTCCCTCTGTCACCCAGGCTGGAGTACAGTGGCACAATCATAGCTCACTGCAAGCCTCAAACTCCTGGGCTCAAACGATCCTCCAGCCTCAGCCTCCTGAGTCGCTGGAACTATAGATACACACCACTGTGACTGACTAATTTGTTTAATTTTTATTTTGTAGAGATGGGTGGGGTCTTGCTACGTTGCCCAGGCTGATATTGAACTGCTGACCTCAAGTGATTTTCTGCATCAGCCTCTCAAAGTGCTGGGATTACACGTGTGAGCCACTGCAACCAGCTGGAAGCTGGATTTTTAATGTTTCAAAGTAGAGCAACTGGGGTTACCCATTAGGTAACACATCCCAACACCTTTTCTCCTCTGAACGGCTCCCATGTTCATATCTCACAAGGTGCTCCGTGCTTCAGGATGTCTCCCCAGTTGCTCTTCAGCCTCCTCTTGCCACACGGGCCAAGGGCACTGTTTGATGTTTGCAGCTTGTCCTCTTGCCTCCCTTCAACCCTTCAACTTATCTCTTCCCATTTGTATTATCCCTGACTAGGTATATTGCTCATACGGACTCACAAGAGCCAATGTTAAAATTTCAGGAATGTTGTGAGCCACTTACTAAATACAGCCATTATAAAAGCGAAATGGCCTAAACTTATATTTAAATAAATTTCATTAAAAACAAAGTAATAATGATACTCGAAATTCATTACTTTCAAATTGTTTTACTATATGTTACTATTGTCTATGCTGTTGGGGTTATTTCTGTCTATTGTAACTGCAGGGTGGAAATATTATATAACAGTGTGCTCTGCTATGCCCTTTTCCCAACTGTGTGTTTCATGATGTCTTGTTGGAGCTTGAAATCAACCATGGTTGTAGTATTTATTTCATGTAAATTGGTAAACATTATGAATCAGGAGTCCCTCCCTTACCCAGAGAGCCTGTTGTTAACATTTACCAGCACACCGTGATCTGTAGCTCTCAAATCCTTAGATCAGAGTTTCTCAGTTCTAGCACTATTGACATTTTAGGCCAAATAATTCTTTGCTTTTTGGGGGGTGTCACATGCATAGTGGAATGTTGAGCAGCATCTCTGGATGCTAGTAGCTTCCCCTCCCCAGTTGTGACAACCAAAAATGTCTCCAGATGTTGCCAAATGTCTTCTGGGGGATAAAGTTATCTCCACTTAAGAACCACTGGCCTAGACAACATTATCCTTTAATGTAAATGACTTGTTATTCTTCCCTTTTTAAACTTTAACATGCATCTGACAAATATTCAGTGCCCAGTATGCATGTAAATACAATGATGAACAAGATAAGCATTGTCTCTGTCTTCATGGAACTCCAGTCTGAAATCATGGACTAAACTGGAAATATACTGAGTATCCACTAGGACTAGAACATGCTATCTGCATGCTAATGTGCTCAGTAGGTGATCTTGATCTTTATTTATTCCATTAACACTAATTGCAACATTGTATAATGTTTATGTTTCCCCTTCAGGCAACTGTTGTCTCCTGGGCACAGGTAGCTACCAATAGGTGAGCCCCTCAGGAGATCACTGGTATATCTAGGATGGCAATTAGCTTCTTTAATATGACAGCCTCATGACAGCTGGCAAGGAGCTGCAATTGGAAGGAACTGGAAGTCACACCGAAGCTCATTGAACAAGCATGCCATGAGTGCCATGAGTAAGTAGTTCCAGCTGATGAGCTTATCAGCGGGTTGCCAGTGGGGGAACTGCCCAGGGGGAGATGGAATGGGAGACATAGCCAGACCTCAGAAGGATATGCAGCTCCTGTGAGGACCTAAGTGGAGCTGAGTCAGCATGGCCCTGGTGAGCACACAGCAGGCATTGATCAGCCACAGACTTCAGTATTGAGACCTTCTAGGGTGGGAACTAGATGAACTGGAGGACAGGCCAGGAACCTGCACATATGAATCATGTGGGCCAAGGACCTTCCTCCCCTTTCCTACCAACATGAAGCAGACCCTTCCCCCAGGGGTCATCTTGGAGAAAAATGGGAAAGCGGAGCGTGGTAGGCGACAAGGTGCTGCAATACCAAAATATCCAGAAGGCATTTAAAATTATTGGACTAGATGACATGTAATTTTCCTTCTTTACTTAGTAAAGTGAAGGACTCTGGAGAAAGATTTGATCAATTATAGAAAATAATGAAGGTACATTTTCTTTGCGTAACTAAATATAGGGTAAGTACATTTTGCATTTGCTAAAATTGTCTTTGCTCTGCCTCTGCACACATGTGGGCACCCGCGCACACACACAAATGGCACTTCTAGGAGTTCTTCCTTGCCACCACCTCCTCTCAAGAATCAATGCTCACGAAAGCATTTGTGAGAAATGTGGAGTTTACTGTGGAGTGTCAAAGGGAAGATGATGGAGGTTTCACTGTAACCCCCACAACAAACAGATTCATATTCCGCTTTGATACTGTGTTCATCATTTCCAATATGTACGTTTTTCCTAGTTGAGTATTTGATATCTTGGAAACCAGACTCTGTCTTGCTGTGTTGGTGTGTCATAGTCTAATTGGCAGCACGTTTCCTTTGGTAACAATACATAAGACAATGGTGTGTCTTATGTTGGTGACTTCTTATATTTGTTAAAATCTTTTAAGTCTACTGCTTTGCAGTCCTTCCTCAACTGCAAGCAGAGGCTTCCCCACTGAGGAAAGTACAGTCTGGAGTCCGACCATCACTCGCTATCTCCACCATTCACAAGCCAGGTAACCTTGGACAAGTTACTGAAGGGTTCGGGGCTTTGTTTCCCCACCTGTGCAATGGGGATAATATTACTAACTACTTCATCGGACTGTAGTAAGAGTTGAATGAGTTGATTCGTATAAAGAAATTGGAACACTGTCAGGTGGTGGTGACTTCTAGAAAAATAGTTGTTCTTACACGTGTTATCTCTTTAGTCCCCTCCCACACAGGCCCTGCCTCCTTTTACCTGTTGCTTTTTCTTTCCTCCCTTATTTTATAAATAATACTTCAGTGACCACTGTTTGCTATTTGAACACAACTTTGAGATCTCTCTTCTCCTTCCCAAATGGCTTACCTAAGTATTTACTCCAAACAAATATGTTGTCTTTTAGAGATACTCTGATAAGTAAAGATTGCTGTATGTAGTAACATATTTTTATCATTATTTCTGATGCATCTATGGTAGATACAAGAGATAGTAAGGTATGAACTTGACTGGAGCCGAGCTAGGTTTTTGGGGAACATTAGGAGATGGGATGGAAAAAAGATAGGTTGGAGACAGATGGCACTTGAAGAATCTCCCCTTTGAAATCTTCGGTAAAGTCTATGATGTGGTACCTCTCCATACATCTCTTAAGAGACTTTGTATTTTGATGATAGCCTTGAATGCTAGGGACATCACACCAGCTAGCCCATACAGGGTGGAGAGGACTTTCGCCCTCTTCAATTCACTGCGTATGGATGGCAATGTTTCTTCCCACATAAGTGGCTGGCCCTAGGAGACAAGTCAGGCGATGTGAGATGTGGATGTGAACTGAGAGAACAGTTGGGGCTTAGGTGAAAAGTGGAGATTCAGGAACTCTTCAGATATAGTGGCCTTAGGGAAAGATAGACGTATTAGACTATTCTTACATTGCTATAAAGAAATACCTGAGACTGGGTAATTTATAAAGAAAAGAGGTTAAATTGGCTCATAGTTCTGCAGGCTATACAGGAAGCATAGTGCTGGCATCTGCTCAGCTTCTGGTGAAACCTCAGGGAGCTTTTAATCATGGCGGAAGGGGAATGGGGAACAGGCATGCCACAAGTTGAAAGCAGGAGCAAGCAAGGGAGATTGGGGATGGGGGTAGGTGTTACAGACTTTTAAATGAGCAGGTCTCATAACATCTCACTCACTATTGTGAAGATGGCACCAAGCTGTGAGGGATCTGCCCCCATGATCCAAACACCTCCCACCAGGCCCCTCCTCCAGCATTAGGGATTACAATTCAACATGAGATCTGGGTGGGGACACACATCCAAACTATATCACTAGACACTAACAAAGAGACACCCGGTCCATCTGGGTTCAAGGTGTGCCACAGGCCTGCATGTCCTCCTAAGCTTTTCCAGACCCTTGGTGCCAGAGTTCAAATGGCTGCAGTCCTGGCATATTCCTCAGTGAGACTGGACAAAATAATCCACTCCTGCAAATGGAAAATTTCTTCTGCGTAGGGTGAGCACTTCCAGCTCCAGAAATGAAACATGCTAAAGGCAGAGTGTGACTTGGCATGGGGTGACCGGTTTCCCAACTGATCGGTCCTCTACCCTGTTAGTTCATTTTGCTGACGATCTTGTCCATAAGAGCAAAGAACTTTCTAGCTGGTCACCTTTGCAACAAAGTAAGAGTTTTTGAAAGAGGATTTTAAAAAATTCTTTTTTGGTTTATTTTGGGTTTAATGAGTCAACACTTTATTTTACTATGAGTGTTTATAACCAAACCTAAATGTGTGTAGGATCTTGAACTTCCCCCACAACTATTTCCTATTTGTTCCCAGAAAAATTCCAATGCCAGATTTTGCCATAGCAACCAGAGGCAAATATCAAGACAGCAATAAAGAGCAAGCTGGAAAAGGGTTTCCCTACAATGTGGCTTGAGTTTCTGTAGGGCATTCCATCCTCCGTGCGGAGCCCTGGAAGGCAAGAGGGGGCCCTGCGGTTCCTCGTGGGGGGTCTGGTAGAGTCCAGCTTTACCAGCATCCAGGACCCACTAGGAAATGTGTCTTTCAGGCAGCTGGGCTAGAGGCGGAAGGATCAGCTTGCCTGCTCCTCGGGCTTGGCACCTGTTGTGTGTTGATCTTTATTTTTGTATGTCAATTTTTCAAAATTAAGTGTATTGAGTTATTATTTTTTCATTATGCTTTTCCTCTGAGCAGTTTAGTAAACAAGCCTGTTGTGTATTTCCTAATTGTCCCCTCAAGTGCTCTTTGGAAGAAGGCAGTGCATATATATAAGTAAGAAAATGGAACCAAAGAACAGGAGACTCTTCCAATACCTGCCCACGATGTCCCTCATTCTGTGTCCTTCCTTTTTGTCATGGTTGTTGTGGTAATGTTAGGAAGTCCCACTTCTTGCCCATAGGTAAAGTCATCTCACTACATGATAGCCTTCTTGCTGAAAGAACTTTGGGCTTCCGAGTTACTTCAGAAGTTTGGATTAGCGATGTGTTGTTAAATGTTTAATAACTTGCTCACAGACATAAAATTGCTTTGATTTGTAGAGCTGATTTGCTGATTTCTGTGGTGTAAATCCTCCCACCATGGCAGATTTCTTTTTGCCAGAGTGACCTCATGAACATGGAACTGGAAGGAGATGAACACATTTAACTCTCATGCACTGGTAAGAGCTGGCTGCCCCACACCGCTGGTTCTGTGGACTTAGGCCTGGTTTTTCAACTTCAGCACTATTGACATTTTGGGCAGAATGGTTGTTGGTTATTGGTGGCTGTCCTGTGTATTGTAGGATGTTTAGCAGCACCTGTGGTTTCTACTCACTAGATGCCAGGAGCAACCCCTTCCCACTAAGTTGTAACAACCAAAATTGTCTCCAGATTTTGCTAGATGTCTCCTGAGGGGCAAAATCTCCCTTAGTTCTAGGCTATTCTGCATTGGTAGTGCTTAGAAGGTCCATTCAGCAGGCAGTAGGCCTCCATTGGTAGCTTTTCCATGAACCACTCTGAATATGCACCCAAACAGGTTCTCCCTTGGCATTTTGGATGTGGTGCATTGGTCTGTTCTCATGCTGCTAATGAAGACATACCCGAGACTGGATAATTTATAAAGAAAAGAGATTTAATGGACTCACAGTTCCACATGGCTGGGGAGGCCTCACAATTGTGGCAGAAGATGAAGGAAGAGCAAAGGGACATCTTACATGGCAGCAGGCAAGAGAGCTTGTGCAGGAGAACTCCCCTTTATAAAATCATCAGCTCTCATGAGACTTATTCACTATCATGAGAACAACATGGGAAAGTCCTGCCCCCATGATTCAGTCACCTCCCACTGGGTCCCTCCCATGACACATGGGAATTGTGGGAGCTACAATGGAAGATGAGATTTGGGTGGGGATACAGCCAAACCATAACATGTGGTATTGCAAAACACTGAAGGTGTGCTTCCTTGGGTAGTCTTGAGAAGTGTCATGCTGTAAGGACTTAAGGCACCAAAAAATTAAGACACAGCAGGGCCACCAGGAGAGCATCAGTGTAATTCCACTGTAGGATATATCCTACATCCATTATAGGATGGATTTTGACAGACTGCAGAGGTCCCTTAGGCAAACCTTTCCTTTGTATGGGTGAGAAATAAGACTCAGAGACAAGGTGTGACTTGTCCAAGGGCAAGATGTGGATGTGCTTGGGACAGTCACAGGGGTGTTGTGGTGAATGCTGCGAGACACCTGTGTGACATACTGGGAATTAGAACTGACTCCAACTTGTAGCCAAATGTGTTTTGTGGGCTTTTCAATGTTGGGTTTGGATGGATATATTTTGATGTCTCCCTGTCCCCTACCTCTCTGCCCCTTTGGAAATATCTGATCATGAAAACCATATTATAATGAGGGACTTCTGTTTCAGATAAAACTATTCCCTTCAGCTTCAGGAGTGAGTTGATTATTCACATGTTCTCTTTAGGGGGTTTAAGCTGCTAGTCTTCAAAGAATAAATGCTGAAGGTTGTCATTAATTCCTCTTTCTTTCCTCCCACATCTGCTCTGGGCCTTCTCATTGATGTAGTATCTCAGGTTACTTTCAAAATAATTTGAGAAAAGGATTTATGGAAGAAGCTAGCTTTCCAGTAGAAAAGTTTAGATGACAAGATTAATGTGATAAGAACTAAGAAAGCCCTCCCTAGTTTTCATTGAAAATGTGTTTTTAATGCCCAGAGGTGCCCAGTCAAAAAGGAAATGTTACAGAAGGATTATTTTCATCAACAGAGTTCTTGGGCGTTGCAAGTTCCAGTGTAACTAGGGAAATAACATATGAGTACATCAGTACACTTCAGATGCCAATACATTGGGCTTAATGAGGACAGCAAGTCTGCTTTTATTAGGGGATTGAATAAAAGTGAAAGGAGTGCTTGAAAAGAATTGGTAATTTTGGATGGGATAATTCATCACTTCCCTCCAGATCAGTTTTTCACAGTAAGAAGTGCTGGCTCTTCAGAAAATTTGGCACAACCAAAGTTTATTTTCACTACCTCCTCCTTCTCCCATTGTCCTTTGTCACCCCCCCAGCAGGTCCACAGTGATTCTGCAGGTCATCCCTGTGGGCCCTGCCCATTCTCTTCCATCAGGGGCTATCTTACATCAATCTTTCAAGGTCTCCTTAGTGATGTAGGCCAGTTGGGTTTTTGCTTTCTTTTCTCAGAGGACAATTCAGCCTCAGCATCTTAGTCTGAAAGGATTCATGCAAGGGTGTCAGATGTTATATTAGGCTAAAGGGGAGGTATTTTGGGTTGTGGGGAGCACTTAATGCAATCCTGTATGACATTCCCTACTCAGTGATGTTCAGGCTCCACAGACCAACATGGAAAGGGCTTAAGGGAGATGAGAAAAAAATCTCTTCTTCCGCAAGGATTTTCAGTTGATCAGTTTTGTTACTTTTTTGTGATGAAACTATCTGCACTGCAACTAATGATTTTTTTTTCTCAAGGTGGAAAAGGTAGGAGCAACAGCTTTCAGTTCTAAGGATACATTCTGTGGACCTTCATAAGCTCTAGGAACTAAGGGGGCAAGATTGAGGAGGAAATAGAGAAAATAATTTGCTCTATAGTATTTTCCCCCTGAGCTGCCATCTGGGGCCTTCAGAGCTTAACACTGCACCCTTGCACTGTTGCACACACCACAGGAGCAATACCAAGAGATGTCAAACATGAGTGGTATTGGTCACCGGAAATAGCAGATTCCAAGTAGCTGCCTCACCAGACTGTTCCATCAGAAGATTCATTTGTGCCAACTACTTCTTTGTCATGGGTCCTTCCTGGTTCTGCAACACAGATGTGGAAAGTGAAGATAACATGTCATTGGATCCCATTTCTAAGAGTGGAAAATATACAATTTACCATGGGATGTTTAAGATATTAGCATATTGTTCACCATGTGTATCCAGAGCTTTAGTAGAAGTAGGTTGAAAGAGCAGTGCATGTATACATGGTGCTCCTCATTGTCAAATACTGAAGCCTGTTTCAGGCTGGGTTTGGGGACTGGGAGTACTTATGGGACAAAGTCTGACCCTCAGTCTGTAGGCTGAGTGCCTTCTTAGTGTGTTGGGACTCAGGATCTATTTACCCTATCTATACTCACAAGCCTAATTCATTAATCAGGATGACTTACTGGGCTGTGAGACCTTTGAGGACAGGACCTTATACCTTTATCTTGTACCTCCCATGCCTAGTATAGCACCAGGCATGTAATAAGTTCTTCTTAAAAAAGTATAGGCTCAAGCCTGTAATCCCAGCACTTTGGGAGGCCGAGAGAGACCATCCTGGCTAACACAGTGAAACCCCGTCTCTACTAAAAATACAAAAACTTAGCCGGGCGAGGTGGCGGGCGCCTGTAGTCCCAGCTACTCGGGAGGCTGAGGCAGGAGAATGGCGTGAACCCGGGAGGCGGAGCTTGCAGTGAGCTGAGATCCGGCCACTGCACTCCAGCCTGGGTGACAGAGCGAGACTCCGTCTCAAAAAAAAAAAAAAAAAAAAAGGATTTTACAGCTTTATCAAGGCATACATGATGTAGGATCAACTGCATGTATTTAAAGTTTTCCACTTGATGAGTTTTGATATATGTCTATACCCATGAAACCGTCACTGCAATCAAGATAATGAACACGTTCATCAGCCCTAAATTTACTCATGTCCCTTTGCAAGTCGCCCCCCTTCCTCCCATTGTTCTCAAACAACCACTATTCTGCTTCCTGTCACTACAGATGAGTTTGTGTTTTTCTGGAATTTTATATAAATGGAATCATACAACATGTACTCTGTTTTTCTTTCTGGCTGTTTTTACTCAGCATAATTTTCTCAAGATTCATTGAAGTTCTGTATATTAATAATTTGCTACATTTCATTGCTGAATAGTATTCCATTGTATAAATCATAATAGGCACCTAACAAGTGTTTGTGGCTTTACATTGATTTGAAAATTAATTTTTAAGAATATAATTGGGAGAAAAGCAGACAATGGGATACCACTCTATTCTTGGTGAGTGGGTTCACTCAGGAAGTGGAAATAGGAATCAGGAGATAATTTGGCATGGTAGAGACTTTTGTTGTCATTCAATATCTATTTTTCCTTCCTTGTTAGTACTGGAGTACCTGAGTTTTGGCTGGGCACAGAACTGTCTGGAATACAGACTACAGTTCCCAGCCTTCTGTGCAGTTCTGTGTGGCCATGTGACTAAGTTGTTGTCAATATGAGGTAAGCAGAAGGGGTCTGTAAAAATTCTTAAAAGTCTCCTTGAAGGAAAAGGGATTTCCTCTTTTTCTTCCTGTTCCCTGTTGTCTGGAAAGTGGCTGCAATGTCTGGAACTCTGGCAGCCATTTTGGACCAGAAGAGACCTTGAGAATGGCGGATGCTCATAACAGAGCAATAAAGTAGGGCAGGTCTGGGCCCCTGACACCATCGAGTGCAATGGCAGACCTGGACTACCTCCCTCCAGGCTTCTCAACTGATAAATATAAATTTTGATCTTGGCTGGGAGTAATGGCTCATGCCTGTATTCCCAGCACTTTGGGAGGTCGAGGCAGGTGGATCACTTGAGGTCAGAAGTTCAAGACCAGCATGGCCAGTATGGCGAAACCCCGTCTCTACTAGAAATACAAAAATTAGCTGAGTGTGGTGCCACACGCCTGTAATCCCAGCTACTCGGGAGGCTGAGGTAGGAGAATTGCTTGAATCTGGGAGGCGGAGGTTGCAGTGATCCGAGATCATGCCACTGCACTCCAGCCTGGGATACAGAGCAAGACTCCATCTCAAAAAACAAACAAACAAACAAACAAATAACTAACTAAATAAATTTTGGTCTTGTTTAAACCACTGCTGTTTTTGTGGGGGTTTTTGTTTGTTTCTTGCAGACAAAACAATTCTAACTGATACAGTTAGTAAGATGGAGTTAGTTAGAACAAGAGGGAGCTTAATGTTGCTGGAAGATCGTTTCCATCATGCTAATATGTCCATTTCCAGTGTATGGATGTTACTGACTAGAAACCTAGTATCAACTGTTAGAATCTCTTTTCCTGAGTTCTGGAAAAACCCTGACAAACCATTCTTAAAATTCCCCTTTTCCCAATCATGTAACTCAAGCCCCGTCTATTTGTAGCCATCATTAACATTTTAGACTTCTTAAAATTACACTTATTTTACATTTATTGACTTTTAACGTGGTGGCTCTGTGGTGGGATGTGGGGTTAACCTAACATTACAAAATTTACAAATCATAGTTACGGTGGTTTATTTGGAAATGTTTTCTGTAGATGCCCAGTCTCATTTATTACATATGAATTTTTGTTATGTTTAATCCCTAGTGTTGGTTTGGCTTGTGACTCTCATTTTTTATTTGAAATATTTCAAACATACATAAAAGAGTGTATGTCCAGATGCCATTTATCTAGCAAACATAACTCTGTAGAACAGTAGTTGCCAACTTTATTTATTAATGTAGCAGCGGAAGCCTTTTTGCAAATGGCATCCTATGCAGAAGCCCAGTATATAAAACATCTCAGAGCTTCTCTGGTTGAAGCAAAAATGGAGGGCTTGGAGCCTTCCTAGATTAAACCCCACCTTGGCCACCCCTTTCTACACCATGGTAGCCCCTGAAATCTGCTCACACAGCCTGATGGTCCTGTGAGCACAGCTGAAAAGCACAGATTAAGAACAGGTTCAAGAATCAGAAAGCAAGCTAAACACGGTGATCAGATCAGCCATAGCAGGTGATCCAGTGTACAAATATTAAAGCCCATCCATTTTATTCATAGAGGAGCCTCTGAGATTCTCATTCAGAACTCTGTGCTCTTATGTTAGCCACAATTCTAACAAGCTTTGCAATCTGGTTTCTCAGTCATGGAAGAATAGAAGAACAACTCAGGGGAGGAAGAAGTCAGACATAGCCAGACATGGCTGCTAGCAGTTCCACCAATGAAAGAGGAGACCAGGATGTTTAAAACAGGCAAACACAAAGTGTGAAAAACTAGAAGCTAAAACTTCTGAGGTCGTTTAAGGTAAATGTAGTTCCCTAATGTATTCCAGTGGGTTATGAGGGCATGATTTTATATATTTACATCTAGAGAGAGTGTGTGTGTGTGTATACATATATATGCATGTATAGATGCATAAATATATATGTGTATATATATAGATTTAGTGAGTGTGTGGTTGTATAAAGTATGTGTATACATAAATACATAAAATGTTTGTATACTTATAAATATATATTATATATGTAAATAATATGCATATATACATATACAATATTTTGCTTAGTGGTTATAGTGATGATTCTGAGAAGAAAAGCCTCATATTTTCTGTTAGTCATTCTGTTTACAGTAATAACAATAATACTTACTGAAACAATTTTTATGTGCTAGATACTGTTCTGTTTTGTGTGGTTAATTTATTTACTCTTTCTACTTTCTGAAGCAGGGACTATCATTATCCCTGGAAGCGGAGAGAAGTTCAGTCCCTTGCCCAACATCACACCGCAAGCATGCGTTGGAGCTGAGATTCAAACCCAGGCATTCAGGGTCCAGGGGCGATGCTCTTAATATATTCCATATCTTAGGAGAATTTCTCCTATTTAAACAATAAAAGTGCAAAAATCTTGTGGTTAGCGAAAATTTTCAGTTGTTTGGAAAACTTATTTATCCAATAAGTGGAGAACTCACTTGTCCTCCAACAATTCTGGATAAATGAAAGAGCGAATTGAACTGAGACTGGTATCCGGGTCTCCCAGTACTTTGTAGTTCCTATCCATAGGGCTTGTCAGGAAGGCCACAGGGAGGTAAACTAACTCGAGCAGGTCTGAGTAACCAGAAACAATCCCACATCAGACTGTTGGCAGTGGGAGTGGAACACTCAAAGCTGAACCGCGTGCAAGATGCTTGCATTTTCATTTGCAATGTTGTCATCTTCCTCATGGCTCAAGAGGTATTTTGGAGTTGACATGAAGGCTACTGTAATTTTTAGAGGCTTTTTGCTTTCTGGCTTGTATTTACATATTGTGGTAGAAGAGTCAGAAGACTTCAAGCTTCAAAAGTGAATCTTGTTGCAACTTACGAAAGCATCACCCTGTGGGGTGCAGCTCTCAGCATGTGTCACCCCAGGCGCTGTGATTTCCCTGGCTTCATCCAACTTTGGTTGCTGTTCTTCATGCTCAGGAATTCTGCAATTGCAATAGCTTTTGCTGTTGTTATGTCTGTAGGTATGGACTAATTTCTACCATTCTGGAATGAAACATTATTTCAAGGAAATCTTCTCATTGTAAAAGGTCCACACATTCAGAAGGAAACTGGGAGCACATTTTCTCATAGGCCTGAAGCATTGACTGACTATGCGTCTTTCCCCTTAGCGTTGTCATCATATTGTAAGTGGATGAGTCATGGACAACATTTTCACACACATACATGAGGTCCATCGACCAGTCCTTAGGACAACTAGATTTCTTTTCTTTCTTTGTTTTAAAGAAGAAGCCAAGTCAAGATACAGCAGATAAAAATGCTCAGCACATTTGCTGAAATCTTAGCAAAATCAAATTACTAGTAATTTGTTAATCACACTATACCTGTTTTGAGCCAATCCTACTTAACCCATCCTCCATCTTCCTCATGCTTGCCTCCCTGGTAAACTCCTATTTATGTTACAAAGATCAGTGTTTATGTTACTATTTTTGTGCTATTTCTGAACATTAAATGTACTTCTGTTGTAGAACATATCTCATGGAATAGTTATTATCACATATCCATTGCCCTTGTTAGGCTGTGAGTGAGCTTTCTTTTTTTTTTGTTTCCTTCCTTCCTTCCTTCCTTCCTTCCTTCCTTCCTTCCTTCCTTTCTCTTTCTCTTTCTCTCTTTCTTTCTCTTTCTTTCTTACCTTCTCTCTCTCTCTCTCTCTCCCTCTCCCTCTCCTTCTCCCTCTCCCTTCCTTCCTTCCTTCCTTCTCTCTCTCTTTTTCTTTTTTTTCTTTTTTATTTTTTTTGGTGTCACTCTGTCACCCGGGCTGAAGTGCAATGGTATGATCATAGCTCACTGCAGCCTCGATTTCTCAGGCTCAAGCGCTCCTCCTGCCTCAGTCTCTGGAGTAGCTGGGACTACAGGCACATATTACCACTCCTGGCTTAAAGCCTGGTAGTTTCTTGTAGGTAGGATTCATAACTAATGTATTGCCATGTCCTAGCACATAGAAGGTATGGTATGCAGAATTCTAAGATCACTCCCAACCCCTCTGGCATCCATATCCTAGAAAATCTCTTCTTAAATATGAATGGGACCTGTGAATATGATGGCTGTCACTCTCTGATTAGATTACATTATATGGCTAAGGTGAAGGACTTCTGCAGCTATAATTAAGGTCCCAGATCAGTTGATCTTGAGTTACTCACAAAGGAGATTATACTGGGTGGCCCTACCTTAATCAGGGAAAAGCCCTTAAAAGAGGACTGTGCCCTTCCTGAAGGAAGACAGTCCACTGCTGGCTTTGAAGCAGTAAGCAGCTGTGTTTTAAGGGAGCCTATGGAGGGGCCCATGTGGCAAGGACCTGAGGGTGGCCTTTAGAAGTTGACAGCAGTTCCCAGCCACCGGCTAGCGAGAAAACAGGTGGCTCAGCCACATAGCCACAAGGAAGTGAATTCTACCAACAATCCAAATGAGCTTGGAAGTGGATTTTTTTCCATAGTCAAGCCTCCAGATGAACACTTTAACTGTAACATATGAACAGCTGAGCAGAGGACCTGCTTCAGCCATGCCTGGACTCCTGGACTCCTGACTTGCGGAAACTGAGATAACAAATGTATATTACTTTAAGCCGGTAAGGTTGTGGTAATTTGTTATGCAACAATGCCTAATACAGTAGGCATCTTAAATGTTTGCTGAACTTACTTTAATCAGGGAAATATAATATTTAAAAGGAATATCTTCTAAAGTTTTAGCCAATTTAATGAATGTAGATATCTTAAAGAATTGCCATCTTCCTTTGGATCTTCTAGCCATGCAATCAACTTCACACACTTCCAACTTTTCATAAATACCAGCTTCTGATCATCTGGAAACAGGAAGTGAGATTCTCTCCAGCCATCATTTGGCATTCTTGGGAGATAGAATGGATAAAAATTGATGTTGAAATGAGACCACCATCATTTTTCAGTCTGCTCACCATGTACAGAGCTCAGGATGATTAGAAAATGTAAAACACATGTGAGTGGCTCAAACCCCTTTAGTTAAATCATATTTACATAGATCGGTTTTCCCAAGAGACATAAGTTAGCTGAACTTAAGCAATTAAAAAAAAAAAAAACTAAAACCTTTGTGCTAAAGCCAAAAAACATGGATGAGTTAAACCATATCAGATGGAATGGTTTGTTTTGAAAAGTGTTTGGTTTGTTGCCTATGTACATGCATGCTTTTTTAAAAGGCATATAGAAAAGCAGAACTTGCAAGACCTTAGCTGCTGAGGTGGAAAGTCGGTAATACTTCCACCACAGCGGTTGATATCATCGGTCTCACCAGCAGGTCACAGATTTGTTGCTTGCTTTCTGTGACTTTCTTGAACCATCATAGGGACCATGGCAGACAGAGGGATGGTGAAGAGGGGTGAAAACAAAACTGGACTCAATCTCGAGCTTGGTATTCCACTGAGAGCAGGTTTTCTGGGCCTTGAAATACCACCTCAGAGCGACCTTCCTTGATATTCTGCCATGTTGAGAACAAGAACAAATTTTTTGGCCCTGGAACCTCTTCCCTCCCAGTGCCAACATGGTCAATTTCATTTGCCCTTGGCTAAATGCAGCTTCCTGTTTCTAAGAAAAGAGGCAGAAAGGGGCTTTTGAAGGCCTCACAGACAGTCTCAGAAGGCTTCATGGGCAGCAAACAACTCTTAGCAAACAATAATTTGATGAGTTAAGTGTAAACGGCTCAGAGACATATGGATTACATTTTTTGGGAAATACACATGGGCTTACAATGTAAAACTGGGTAGCGTGGGGGTGGGGTGGAGAAGGGAATGCTTGGAAAAATGTGGTTTGGGTCTTGCCAATTGCAAAATATTTGAAACAAATAATTTGAGATGTTTTGCCCAACCTACAGTGCAGTTGGATTCGCCCTTTCCATCTATTTACGTGTCATTTTCAGACTCGGCTCATATACCAATACTGGTTTGGGTCTTGAGTCGATTTTTTAAAATGCAGTTATTTTGAAAGGTCATGCCATGTGATTTCTGTGTAGCCTCTGAGCATAAAGGGTGGGGTGGTGGAGGGGAAGAACTGGGCATTTAGCAACCTCTCTGCCTGTAGGCCAAACTGCTGCTCAGCTCTTCTGGTATATTCTACTTGTGGAGGTTCCAAATCCAGGCTGTGCTAGTGAGATGCAGCAGCCTCAGTCTCCCCACCTGTAAAATAGGGACAGTAATACTTATCCCAGAACCTATGGCAATTGGGATGCTGTGTGGTGTGGAGTTGGGAGTGTGGACCCTGGAGGCATATATCTGTGCATATTCCAGCTCTGCTGCTGGTGTGAGCTTGGGCAAGTTCTTCAGCCTCCCCGGGCTTTTGTTTCTTCATCTGTATAATGAGGAATATGTTAGCATCCACCACATAGGGTTACCTTGAGAATTATACAATTTAACCCAGTGCCCAGCACACAATAAATATTCAGCAAATGCTAACAGTGGCTCTTGTTGTTTATAATTTCTCTTGTTCTATTAAGTATATGAATATAGTAGAAAATAAGGCAAGTTCACCTCCAGGCTGGGGAGAGGAATAGCCCCTTACCCAAACTGTGAGAGTCTCCTTCAGCTTACCTTCTTTTTCTTATTGTTTCAACTTATAGATTAATTATCTAATTTTGTGACCCAAAAATAAAAGGTAGATTCCTTGGTCTAAAATTAGACTGATCTTTTCCCTATCCTAGGAAGGATCCGTTTCTCCCATCTAGTTTACCACCATCTAGCACCCAGAGACACTTGGTTTAAGAGGCCAGCTAGCTTGTACTGGAGTGTGAGGGAATTCTGAGGGCTCAGGTGGAAGGAAAGCATGATTCCATAGTTTCGTTGGGTTAAAGCATTGCTTCTCAACCCTTCCTGCACATTCGAATGAATTGAGAAGCATTACAAAAATCATAGAAGTGTTGTGTGTGGGGCTTGGGTATTAGTACATTTTTTAACTCTCCAGCTGCTTCTATTGTGCAGCCAGGACTGAGAACCACCCTGGCTAAGACATTCAGTGGCATTGCAGGTGCCTCCCTTGGTCGTTTCTGACTCACCCCTTTTAACTCACTGGCCCCTCGGACTCTGATTTCTGCCCTTCATGCGTAGGTGAGCTTTCCTCTGGGGCTTGCCGTGAGGTCTGCAGGAGCAAGGCCACTTCCTCTCTGAATCCTAGACACAGGCTTTGGGTCAGAACTGCCACCCATGTGGAACCCCCTTCTGCCCCTCTGCTCTGGGGGATCTTGTCTGAATCCATCCCTTCTTTGCCTGCCTTATGCCTTCTAGCTACTATTCTTCTGCCCCTCCTTTCTTGATCAGCACAGTTCTGCCGCTTTCAGTCCTTTTTTCCACTAACCATTGACTGCCCTTTGCTCTGTCAAACATAGTTTTGGAGGCTGTGTAGTGCAGTGAAAGAATAGGGAATTTGAGGTTGGACCTGGGTTTAACTCTATCCTTGATTGCTGACAAGTTACTTAACCTCTCCTCATTTGTCAGCTAGGAATAATCTGACCTGGGTGAGACTGCTGTGCAGATGAACAGAGATAAAGGAGGGGTGATGGTGTGGTAGCGGTGGCCTGGTGAGAATGACCAGGAGTGATGGTGATAATGAGAATGATGATAATGGTAATGGCGGTGTTGAGGTGAGGTGGCGGTGTTGAGGTGAGGTGAGGGTATTGATGTGGTGGTAGTGCTGATTTTGGTGGCAGGTGATGGCTATAGTGATAGGGGTGGTGGTGATGATGGTGGTGGTAGTTGTAATGGTGACTGTGGTGGTGGTGGTGATAATACTGGTGATAGCAGTAATGGTAGTGATGATGGTAATGATGGTAATGATGGTGGTTTGATGGTGGTGAACATGACAGTCGGGTGGTTGTAGTAATGATGATAATGATTTGGTGGCAGTGGTGGTGATGGTGGCAGTGGTTTAGTGGTAAAAGTTCCATCAAGAAAGCAGAAGGCTGGAGGAAGCATCAGTGTTCTGATCAGAGGAACCACACGGGAAGCAGAGATAGAAGGTCTTTGCATTTGCTAAGGCCATGGGAGTAACTTGTTGTATCAATTAGCATTTGATCAGGAAATCAGAGCTACTCTGTATGACATGGAATAGGGGATTAATCATAGGGATTAGACTTACCCATTATGAAAACTAGTAAAAATGTCTAGGCAAGGCTGTTGCCTCTGTATCTGGAGTTGAGTTTGACTTTTCTTCAGGTCAGCAGGGCTTGCAGATGGGACAGAAAGCTGGATGGAAGCAGGAGAGCAAGAATGAACTGTAGCATGTCTCTGACTCCTGCAGTGGTAACACAGTGACCTGCAGGAAAAGCCGATGCCTC